AGGGATGTCTCGTGTGTGCTAGAAACCCTTCCACTCAGGTTTTTTTTTTTTTTTTCACCCAAGTCTCTTTCTTTTTAAATGTGCCCTGTGCAAGCCACTCGAAGGCACCAACTCTCTGCTGTACTTGTAACATTCTTGAAAACGTCTTACGTAGATTTTCCACTGATTTCTTTTTAGATTCCTGCTCCTTTTTTGTGTGTGTACATGGAAGTGCAGATAATATTTTACGAAGATTGAACTAATATCTCTCCATCTCTATCTCCACCTCCATCTCTGTATCCTACTAGTCACAGGAGTTCAATGTCTCCTAGGAAACGGGCCTGTCTTAGGATCCCTGCCATGGTTCAGACTCCGACTGGGGTGGTCTTGGGGAAGCTGCATGGCCATATTTGCTAGATGAGTCTTTAAATTTCCTTAGATGGATAGTCTCTCTTCTCTTTTATCAGGCTTAGCGTGTCTCCAGCCAGCTTGTCCTGGATTAGCCCTAGTTCTTCCTGGCATCCAGGAGGAAGGTGGAGCAGCTCTTGAAGGTGGCTGTTGCATTGCCAGGAGAAGCTTCTGTGGCACCTTTCAGCACAGGGTAGCTCCGGCTGCAGAAGAGCAGGCTGCCTGCAAACTCAGAGTCAGTGCGGTGTGTGTGTTGTGGTGTGTGTGTGGTGTGTGTGTGTGTGTGAGTTGCAGAATCTATATTGTCAGGGGCAAACATCCAGATGTTCTGCCTCATGTTCCAGAATCCCAAGTTTTCCCCACCTCCAGCACACAAACATACCTTGGCTACCTAGGCTGAGCGCTCAGACATCTCTGGAGTGCTGCATCCCTTAACAGTTAGGTCGTCATCTGCTGCTCAGCTCTGTGGCCCTTCCACTGCAGGACACAAAGCCGCTTTTTAGCGACCTCAGAGGCTCTCTGGTTCCCACTTTGCCGTTAATTGTTGATAACAGCCCTCGGTTCCTCATTATCCTCTGCCGGGCAGCAACACAACAAGGTAGGAACCAGCCAACTCTGCTGGCTTTGTAAGCACTCTTGGCCCTTATTTCCCAATCCCTATATCACTACACTTGCTACAGCATTTCCTCCCACTGGGACATTTTCCGTGTTGCCGTCAGTAAAATTTTTAGCGATTCAGCCACAATGCTCCATCTGCTAACTAGGACACCATCTTTTTCACCTGCTGGCGGTGGGTGGGAGACAGTCTTAAATCCCATATTACTGCCTGTGATCTTAGACTACTTTTGGCCTTGCCTGTGTTAGTCCCAGTCCTATGAGAAACAGACACCAAGACAGGATCAAATATGCGAGGATTTTATTAGGGAAATGCCCATGAGAGAAAATGGTGCAGGAGCAGGGAAAGCTGGGGAGCCAAAACACCACAGGGCAAGTCAGACCCCAAGGGAAAGAGAGAGGGAAAAAGGTTGGGTGAACATGTCCTAGACTGCATGCTGTGTAAGAAGGCCGTCAGAGTTCTTGAGCAAAGTTGGCTGTTAGAGGAATCTGACATCTCCCAGGAAGGGGCCTGTCTTTGTATTCCTGTGCTCTCAAACGTTCGGTTGGATGCAATCGACGGAAGCGTGGCCTCCCGTGCAAATCGGTGATAGATTTTCAGGGGGCTCTTGGGCTCTTGGTCAATTATGTCCTTGGCAGCTGGAGCCTGCAGGTGCATTTTCCTGATCACCACAAATGGGATCGGCACATACCTGAATAGAGTAAGTCTCCGTAAGTTAGCCACAGTTGCTAACCACTTCCTTACATCCTCCTACATTTAGGTGTCTCTGATTTTTAGTTTCATAAACAACACTGCTTTGGGCATTGATATAATTCATTGTTTACTTAGGATAAATTTCTGCAATTGGAATAGCAGGACAAAAGGGCATGAACATTTAGCATTCTTTCCTTTCATCGCCCTCCCCTCCCCTCCCTTTCCTTACCTTGCCCCTCCACTCCCTCCCTTCTCCCCTCCCCCTCCCGCCCCCTCCTCCCCTTCCCTCCTCAC